ATAAATAATTTATTTTTTCCATCTTTAGTTCTTCTTGCTATGCTAGTTGTTTTCATCAGGATATAATTGGACATTCATGATATTGCTCCCCATCTATAGTAGCAGAATCCATTCTACCACTTGTATTAGATTTCTATTTTGGCCAATCCTTACTCTCCAGTGTAGGAAGAACAACAAACCAGCATTACTTCATGTACAGTTGCTCAGCATCCCCTATGTGGTCATTCTGTGTGTTGTTGTTTTTTGCTCTCTACCCGCTTCTCTCTCTCTCTCTCTCTCTCTCTCTCTCTCTCTCTCTGTATGACTAGGATTTTAATGAAGCTGGCACGAAGCCTACAATGTAATTTGCTGTTTTTATTACTCTGTCAATATTGTGCATTAAGGCCCTCAATACTACTCAATGAACATAAAAAAGAACTCTTTAAACCATGCAATGTCGAAACGAAAACAGGAAACTGCTAATGCATGTGTCTTAATACACTAGCCCAGATTAAGGCTTTTGAAGCAGTCCTTCACTAATTAATTTGAAACTGTGATGAAAACACAAAGTGCCCATAGATGTGGGGTTCCTAAGGATTTTGTTTTTTCTTTCTTACAAGAGCATTTCAAAACGGGTGTTTGCTTCTTGACAAACGTGATACATCATGCCACAATAATAGCTGAGACTGATGGCCAAGTCTTTTCTGTTCCTCAGTAGGGACAGCAGAAACTAGATATGGGGATGAATTTTAAAAATGGTGATTTGTTTTGATCTGTTATTTGTCAAGGCTAACAAATCAACTAATACGAATATACAAATATTCTTCGATGAATCGACGAATCAATCCATCATTCATCTGCACTTTAAATGGTTATAACACTGGCCCCGATGACCTAGAGACACCAAATTTGAAGGGAAGCTTCTTCACATGTTTTTCTACAACTCCTGAAAGATTGGTGAACATTGGATCACAGACCCTCAAGTAATATAGTCAAAAAGAGGACACCCCAGGAAAGCTCCTCCCAGCTACTTAGAGACTCCAGAATCACAACAGAGCTTCCTATGTCTTTCCCCAACATGCCTGCCAACTTTGGTGAAGATTGGATATCAGAACTCCAAGTTATTCACCCAAAAATTGGGTCCCCCTGGGAGAGTTTACCACATGGCACAGAAGCCCATGGCATTGAGGGAGTTATACTTAGCCCCAGCAGAATGAGAGGTCCCTTTGGCAGAGGCGTGCATGAGGCATCAAGTTTGTCTTCAGCTCAGCACAACATTACATTTGCCAGTGAACTAGAGCTTGCCCTCAGGAGGACTGGAGGCAAGGAGGTATTTGGCAGCACAGCAGGCTTTTTGGCTTTGTCGGGCACTGGAGAAGTTGGCAGCAGGAAAATAGGCTCTTTTGGCCCCATTGGGCACTGAGGGAAAAGGCAGCAGGAAAGCAACCTTTTTTTGGCCACATCAGGCACTGAGGTAGTTGGCAGCAGCAAAGTACTGTGTCTTGCCCCATCGGGGCACTGAGGCAAAAGGCAGCAGAGCAGACTCTGGTCTTCTTCAGCAACATCAGATTTGCCTGCAAAGGAAAGGTTTTTGCCCTCAGGAGGCAACTGAGATTGCTTGCGACTTCCAACTGCACCAGCAGCACCATCAGATGAACAGGGTCAGTGCTACTAACAGTGGTTAATCTATGGGGCCGTGGGGCTGTCGGAAACAGATCAGCCCTGCAATCTGAAGCCGGGCGATGGGGCCACAAAGATACTTGTTTAGAACTGAAAAGCTGGGGATTGCTTGCAACATGGCTGCTGAGACTACCCAGATATGATAAAGATAGCCCTTGGAGGTTTGAAGGGGGTTAGACAGATCAACCCCCTTGGCACGGGTTGAAAACCAGACAAGCTCTGCCATCTGAAGCCGGGCGATGGGGCATTGGGATGATGCCTGGACAGGCTTTGGGTGGGGCTGAGACAGGCCCTCTTTGGCATGGCGGACACCCATACAGACTGGGTGTGGCATAGTCTGGCCTAGGAGACTCATCTGTCCACCAATGTCTAACTAGACTTGCTGAGAACCTTCAAAGAAAGAAAGATGCTTGGGTTGAAAACCAGACAAGCTTTGCCATCTGAAGCCGGGTGATGGGGCAATGGGCTGATGCCTGGACAGGTTTGGATGGGGCAGAGCCTGGCTTTCTGTGTGCCAACATGGCTGTACAGCCCTCTGTCTTGGCACATTATGGGCATCACCCAACACTTTGCTCTTGTACACTTTAGTTGTACAAAAGCAACTATTTATTCATTTTTCTTACTGCTCAGAGCTGGATGCCCCTTTTTTGCTTGTTTGGGGGTGCCAGGACTGGCTCTGGGTGTGCCAGCCAAAAGGTTTAGATGGCTCTCTTGGTACATTCGGGAGATGAGCAGACAGGCTTTAGGTGGGTGGGGCAGAGCCTGGCCGCGCTGCTACTACAGCGGTTAATCCATGGGGCTGCTGGTGAGCTGAGCTAATTCATTTGAGTAGTTTGTTCCAACTTCTACCTACCTACTGAGTTGGCATGGGACTGAAAGCAGAGTGTGTTGCCTCATTGGGCACTGCGGTAATGGGCAGCAGCGAAGTACTGTGTCTTGCCCCATCAGGCACTGAGGAAGTTGGCAGCAGCAATTTAGTGTGTTGCTGCATCAAGCACAGGTAATTGGCTCCAAAGTAGGCTTAACAGGCATCGGGCACCAAGGCAATTTGCAGCAAAGTAGGCTTTGCCCACTGGGTGTGTAGTGGCAGAAATCTTCAACATCGATGAGCAAGATGGTGGCGTTTGCCATCAAGATGGCATATGAAACATAAGCTTCCAGAAATAATTAATTATTTAGTCAAGTATGCGGTTTTTTTACTACCAGGAAGGGTTTGGGTTGGCTCAGCCCTCTTGGCACAGGGAAGCCAGGAGGACAGCTTTGGAAAACCAGATGATCAGCTCTGCAGTCTGAATCTGAAGCCATGGGAAGGTGTTGTTTGTTTTGTTATTGGTGAAGAACCTGAATCTGAAGCCATGGGATGGTGTTGTTTGTTTTGATACTGATGAAGAAAAGGGTTGGTGGTTGTTGTTGGCACAAGATAAACTCTGCAGTCTCAAGCCGTGCAATGGGGTGATGCCTGGACAGGCTTTTGGACTTCATCGGGGCACTGAGGTAAGTTGGCAGCAACAAAGTAGGTGTGTGTTGCCCCATCAGGCACTCAGGCACATGGCAGCCAGAAAGCAGGCTTTTGGGCCCCATCGGGGCACTAAGGGAAAAGGCAACAGCAAAGTATAGTGTGTTGTCTCATCAGGCACTCAGGCACACAGCAGCAGAAAAGCAGGCTTTTTGGCCCCATCAGGGCACTAGGGAAAAGGCAGCCACAGGAGACTCTGGTCTTCTTCTTCTGCAATATCACATTTGCCTGCAAAGTTACATAAGTTTGTCCCCAGAAAGCAACTGAGATTGTCAAAGCAGCAGCAGCAGAATAGGGGCCGACTGCAAGGTGCTACTAGTGGTGGTTAATGAGGATGGCCGCTGGGCTTCTAGAGCGGAAGATCAGCAGTTTGAATCCATGCAATGGGGTGACCTGAGCTCTTGTCCCTTGTTCCTGCTTCTGCCCACCTACTGAGTTAAACTGCTGCTGAGCCACTAGGCTTGTTGATTGGAAGATCTGCCAACCTACTCAGGCAGTAGCCCGAGTAGACTTTGGAGCACCGTGTTGGCATAGGATGGCAGGACAGGCATTGGATGGGGCAAAGCCTGGCCCATTTGGCATAGATATGCCTGGACAGGCTTGGGGAGGCAGAAGAAAAGGAAGAGGCAGGGGCAAAAGGAAGGAAGCAAAAGGAAAGAAGACTGAGGTTCCACAACTGTAGCAACAATAGCAGATAAATAGGGTCCAAGGTGCAACTAATGTAATGGTGGTAAATCCACGGGTCCGCTGGTGAGCTGAGCTCCCGCAGTTTGTTCCAAGCTCTTCCAACCTACTGAGGTTGTAGAAGAGCTAGGAATCTGGAATGAACAGTCTGCCAGTTTTGAATGATGAATGATGATGAAAAAGAAAAATGTAAGTCTTTGCTTTGCTGCCACAAAAGTGAAAACACAAGTGCACCAGCAAGCCAGCGAGCTCAACTCCAGAGAGCATGAACAGAAGTGGGGAACAGCCAGACGGGAAAAGCTTATATGAAGCATCTGTAAAACTAGATACAGCTTTCAGCAGCCGCCCAGAGACCTCTGGGTAGTGTGGGCGGCATATAAATTGAATAAATAAATAAATAAATATTGGCTGCCAGACATGGTAATCCAGGATTTTTGTCCTGATTGGCCAGAGCTTCGAATTGGCATCAGCAAGCTCAGAGAGGCCCCCAAAAGGGGTAACGAATATAGACAAATATGAACTGATCGACAAATAAAACCGAGGAAATATTCATCAAGCCATATTCGTCCTGATTAAAAATTTTACAAATATGGATTGACAAATATATGACGAATTGGCTCTATTTATCAGAAAAACGGATCCATTTTTATATTCATCCCAATCTCTAGTAGAAACATAAATTTCAATTTTGGTCCTGAACTAATGCACTGTAAAATGAAAGCCACAGCCTACAGGGCTCTTCGGAATAGAAAAGGAGAACAGTAAAGCTACTCTGATTGTTCATCTGTTATTCTGATTTGTCACTTCTAAGTATGAGCAAAATACACTGTTGTGGTGCTTACTTTTTTACTAGTAGAGAGAATCATATACTGCTAGCATGATTTAATAAATAAATGATTCAGTACAATGAATATTTTCTAAGCTTACTGATTTTTTTTAAAAAAATTCTCTACAGATATTTTGCCTGCATAGGCCTCAAGGTTCACATTTCAGTGGAGTCATGGAATTATACAGCTCAAAGGAACCCTATGGATCATTTAGTCCAGTCCCCAGCCAAATCCACACCTAAAGCATCCTTGAATAGTATTGTCCTTACTGCAGGATGCTCTGTACAGACATACAAACATTTTATTTTCTTGATTTTTTAAAATTTTATTAACTAGGTAGAACTGTGGATTGAAAACACAGAGGTAAACATGCTGGATTATCTTGATCTCATGTGCTAGAATGAGAAAGTGCCATAGCTTTTTTTCTTTTTACCTGTGAGATCATAAAATATTACCTGCTGGTATCAAAGAGGGTCCTTGCATTTGTGAAAAGCAATTTTTGCATCAATTGTGCAAATATTATGCAAATTTGCAAAACTACAATAGCTGCTGCCTTGTTGCCCAGATATACAGAAAATAGAAAAATTGGATGGGTGGTTTGTGTTGGTTTGATCACCAAGCCTGTCCTTCTGTGCTTGTTCTGTGTGTGGACGCACACATTGTTTCACCTAAAGGAAAGATACTGTATAGATTACGTAAAGAAATAATATTTGCTATGTTCCCCATTCTCACTGATGGATGCTACCACAACATAATAAGAAATCTAGATGAGGAATTGTAAACCCTTATGAGATTCCTTGCTTCCTGTCAAGAGTATGACAGTCAACTTTTTTCTCTACTCCAGGTCTCTTTAATTTATATGAAATATCTGTAGTGTCCCCTCCCTTTAGGAGGCAAAGCACGCTACATGGGAAAAGTGACTAATCATTAAGGCAGATTCAAGCAATCCATCTGCTGCTTCAAATTCTTTTTTAAAATGTAGCAATCATCTTAGTTTGGGGCAATGGCAGAATTTGCATTATGTTTTATAAGAAATTGGCAGTTTTCTGTGATATTGGCATTTGAGTTTTCTGCAAAACATCATTCTTACCAATGCAAGAGCTGTGTCAAGACATCCATGAAGTTCCTCTTCATCTTCAAAGAGAAGAATGTTGCAATTCCTCATCCCTGCATGACAAATAATGATTTACATCCCTAGAATAGAGATGCTGGCTGAACTTCTGTTGCTTAGTGTAGTAACTTGAAATTGGACTAGGGTCATTGAATCCATGGAACTTACAGAGGAGTTAACTAACCAAATCTTCACTAGTTCAATGGACCTACTCTTACCAAATTACCTGTTTTCAATGAGAAAGTCTTCTTGACATGGTAAGATAGCCTCTTGAGGAAAGGTTGAGCCCTGTAATTATGTCTGGGTCCACTTCAGGACCTATGAGTGCTACATGCTACTCTTGCCAAATATGATTCTCTGTGTGGGTTGGATCTGAAGTTTGCAAAGCTAGAAACTCCAGACCATGTAAATTTCTCTAGTCTGTTTCACTTTGTGAAAAAGGGAGTGTTTTCTCCTTTTCTCTCTCTGCTGCCATGTCAGACTATCATTATTCCACTTGGAAAGAAATTTTAAAAAATTAAAAACAAACCCCCAGCAGCAGTAGCAAATGGCTGTGGGAGGCAGCCAGTGTGAGGGCAGGTGTATGTAGGACAAAGCCTCAAAAGCAACAATTCTAATAGACCATGTGGCCCCCTCCACTGTTATGCAAGACAGTTTAAAAATGGATTACAGCATTGAAAACATGGTCTGCAAACATGCTGGTTAATGAAACAATTTAAAATCTCTGTTGTTGTTTCCTGAAGAGGTTTTAAGCCCTTACTTTATATCAGAGTATAATTTTCATTGTGAACATGCACAGTGATAAAAAAATCATGTGACTGTAAATTGATTTGAAATATATCAGAGCTGATATAAATCAGTGGAACCACACCCCAAATCAATCAATAAAGTGCAATCTATGTTGCACAAGTGCAATTATTTATTTTACTGTTTACTGTTGTCTACAAATAAAATCGTCTTGATCCACTCTACTGGGTTCCATGAGTGCTCACCTCCTTAAGTCAGCATTAAGCAACAAAGCACAAAATAGCTTACTCCTGCATTTCTTCTCCCTGTGAAATGTTTCTGTGGAGCTGGACTACCATATGCCATGATATAACTCCAAATGTTTTGCGCTATGGCTCCAAAGAGTCCAGATTTGTGGTCCCTTCATAAAGGGCTCCTTTCACAAGTGATTCCCTTTGCAAAGAGAAAAGGTATTTTGCAAAAATATTGTGCAAAAAAAAGGAAAAAGGAAAAAAGCACTTGTCTTGCTGGTGCCAAGAATTTCCATGTGTGTAGGAAAAATCTTGACAGGCTATATTTCCATGTAGATACAGCCTGTTGCAACCAAATCAAGAAAGAGATGACCAACACATCCTTAGCTCATCATTTTTCTAGTGAGCCCTTAACCATGTGGACTAGACACATCCTTAGATTAATCCAGCAGGACTGTTAGTGTGTTGTGTGTGTGTGTTTGTCTAAATAACAAATAAAATTAAACAAATTGAATCATTCTATATTATTTTGCTACTGAATATGTAAAAGAGTAATTAGCATTTTCTGATGGTGATTGTTAATTGTGGTGCAGTGGTTAAACTGCTGTACTGCAGCCAAAACTGTGCTCACGCCCCGGGGTTCAAATCCCAGACAGCCGGCTCAAGGTTGACTCAGCCTTCTATCCTTCCGAGGTCAGTAAAATGAGTACCCAGCTCACTGGGGGGGGGCAATGTGTAGCCTGCATAATTATCTTGAAGCGCTATGGGGAAGTATATAAGCAGCATGCTTTGCTTTGCTTTGCTTTTTAATGATAAATGTTATCACATATTTCTCAAAAAATTCAACAAAAGCATAGGTGAAAGCTCTCATACAAACAATGGTCTGGCTCAAAACTGTGTATGACAAAATGGTGGAGGAAGATTTTGTGGACAATGAAGTGTTTCAGTAATACCTCACAAGAGCTTTGTATGCATCTGGACTTCCTGTGATGGGCATAGGCTAACGAGTGGTGATTGTGGCAGAAAGGAGCTACTAACTGATAACAGTGGTAATCACTATTTTTTTCTGTAGAACATGAGGATGTAATGTGAGTCTATGGCTTCTAGAGAAAAATCATGCCCAAGGATTGTTAAAGAACAAAAATAGTGGGCCATAATGAGCTTCTTTAAGAGGAGCAGTACAAAGTACTGGCTGCGCTACTGCTTCTAATAGGTGCCTTAATACTTTAGCTGGCAAATGTATGAAGTCTCGAATGGCAAAGGAAACAAGGCTTCAAATATTAAACAGAGTATTAAAGATCCACCACAAAAAAATGGGTAAGTAAATGAATATTTTGTGCATAAGCTTTTGATCTCACTATTCTGAACTATCTTCATGTCCAAAAATATTGTATTGTAAATTTGGAATTTGTCCATTTAACTCAAGTCTATTCAGAAGGGACAAATTACCTTAGAATCAAATGCTTGGAGTAAATAGATTTATGGATTACAGCCATAGAGGTCTAATTACAATATGTAGATGCAATTAGAGAGTTAAAAATGGAATAACATCTGATCAGTTTCAAATAGGGAATGCTGGCAGAACAGAAAGTTTATTATATTTCCTGGTTCTTGTTTTCTCTTTTTAAAAATAAATCCACCTGTTGGCTGCTGATTCCAAATGCAGTTGATATATGCAGTGAAATCTGATTTACAGAAGTTGTTTGCAGTCTGCGGTTATGGTTTTGAAAAAGGTAATAGGAAGGATAGCATATGTTTTTTTCTGCCCAGGGAGATCTGTTTGTAGCTGTTAACAGGAGTTGAAATTTATGCTGAAATTTATTGTAATAAATAGTGGTTATGAACTGCTTTTTGGTCTCCAGGCTGAGCCATAAAAAGGTCTTCAAAGAAAGCAGCTGCCAAATATTGCCCAAAAGAGTCCTTCAAATTTATTTTTCCATGGTCATTATTTTTAGAAGAATAACACAGGACAAATCCAGAACACATTCAGAAGCAGGCTAAACCACTGGGAAAACTAATACTCACAAACCCTCAACTGCAAAACTGATTGTTACATATTATGCACTTTCCACAGTTTATTTCACACACAAAAGTATGAAACATTGCACTTCTGCTGCCAATCCTTTTAAGATGCACATTATTAATTGGACATTCCACAAAAGGCCTAGGTAAATACCAGCCTAGTCCATGCTGTTCTTCCATTCATTCTCTTCCACACACACACATTGCCAGGTATTGAAAAACAAAAAAGTCATGTTGGAGGAGCAGTTACAAGTGGTAAAATTTGTTCTGTTTTCTGGTAGGATGAAGGCAGAACAGAAAGGCCAGTTAGAAGAGGTAACTGTGGCCTACTTCTTCCCAGGAAGATACATCTGCATGGCCTGTGGCATCAATTCATGGTTGCATCTGAGGGCTGATGTATTTGAACAGTCCTCCATGGTGAAGGATGGAGCTATCATCTCAAGCTATCATCCTCCACATAGAAAACCAATAGGCAGAGATGCTAGCCTCTTATATTAATGGAATTATTTTGTATTGAGGAGCATTGAATCCTATGAACTCATATCTGCATACTCAGGTGGTACAACCAAGATGGAGATTCAACCATCACATGGAATAAAGCTTAAACTCAACTAAATTAGGGTTTTCACACTACCTAATTGGCTGGAGTTTACTCATGTTTTAGACGTGCCACCTGGCTCAGGTTCTGAACTTTCATTTCTCAGAGTCTCTTGCTCTTAGTGAATTGCAGCAAAACATGCAGCCTCTGTTTTGAAAGAAACAAGCCTTTCTGTGTGATTAGCCAATGACTGAAGCCACCCACAGTTTAACAGATTTTGGTAGACTTGTAATAAACGAAAGGTTATGAGTAAATATTACAGTTGTGGGAATGCTTGGTTGTTAGGTGGTTTGCAGGCAGTTGAAATCTCGGTACAGCCCTGAAGAAAGGAACAGAGGAAACAAGAGAAGAGAAGGAGGAAGAGGAGGACATAAAGAAGTATCTTTTTTTTGTTGTTCTTAATGGCCAATACCCTCTTCCAGAGCTCCACCCATACAATAAGAATAACATTAGCAGCAGTGGCAGTTTGTACGTTGCAGTGGCCGATTGCAGGAATTAAAATTTTCTTTTTTATTAGTTATTTTGGAGTGTGCACAGCTCCTTTCCATTACATACAAGTTGCACACAGTCACTGCCAGTGACATCTTTCCCACTACAGAGTGGGAGCTCTGCTATTGTCTTGCTATTGCTGTTTGAATTCTTAGCTATATATTATACTAAATTAAATAGGTCTTACATCTCAGTAAATGTGCATAGGAAATTTATATAGATATATTACTAGGAAGGTGAAACTAGCATAGTTACTTGCTTGGGCTGCTGTTCCCAGAATCTCCTGGCCAATGGGGTCAGTAGCTATTCTGGCCTAGGGAATTTGTATGGTGCAGTGCAAATGGTGAATGTTCAGACTCTGCAGTGAATTGTACTACTACAGTATAGCCCATTGCAGTGAAACAAAACAGTCCCAATATATTGCTGAGGAAGGAGGTGCCACATTGGATTGGTACCTGGTTTTTATATAGGTGTATGAACTCGAATGTGTGGGTGTCCACGTGCATGTACAAAAAGTAAAATATGCTTAAAGAAATTTTCTACTTGTATAACCATATTTCTGAAGGAAATGACACTTTGCTGCAGTTTACCCTTACTTCCCCCTACATTTTCCCTCAAATAAGATGACACTGTGTCAGTCATAGGGAATTTATGTAGTCCTTTCATAGACCTACAAAAGTTATTTTTCTATTACCAAAACCTGATGGCAAAAAAACAACTGCCAAAGAAAGAAGGCCATGCGCACGGCTAAATGCCACTGTTTCTTTCTTTGTACGCACCAGTGATATACACGACTGTTATACATAGTTCCCCACTTTATCGCAAAAGCAACTGTAAATTGGTTTGATTAGGCTGTAGTTGTACCAGGTAAGTTTTAGAACTAAGCAGGGATTTGAACTTAGGTCTCCCGTTTCCAAATCCAACCCTAGAACCATTACACTCTATTACATCTCTCAGGTCTCAGTTGATA